GGTGACTCTTGTCAGCAGGAAGTTAGTGACAGGCTTCTGGACTAGACTCAACATGGAAAGTTTGGATGTTGTTGCTATTTGGATAGAAATGGGGGAGAGGACTTTAAGGATCTTCAACATATACAATGACAGCAATCACTCCAGGAGTTTGAGGGCTGTGGAGAACTTTCTCCAGAGCCAGCAGAGCAGGGAGACAAGGAGATGGAATGGCACAGACATCTGGGTAGGGGACTTCAACTGTCACCACCTGATGTGGGATGACCCACACAACAGACATCTGTTCACAAAGCATAATATGAATGAAGTGGAGGATCTCATTAGCATACTAATGCACAATAGGATGGCTATGGCCTTGTGGCTGGGGGTTGCCACATTGGAGGCAAAAAACACAAAGAATCTGACCAGGATGGACAACTTGTTTGTGACCAACTCCTTTACTGACAAGATTACAAGGTGCATAGTGCTACAACAAGAGCAACCACCAAATGCAGACCATTTCTCAATAGTGACAGTGTGCAATGCAACAATGGACCACTTGGAGGAGGTGAGTGGATGGAACCTTTGGTAGGTGGAGTGGAAGAAGTTTGAGGAGGAGCTAGGAACACAGTTAGAAGGGGTCGCAAAGACAAGAGTGAGGATGGTAGAGGAGATGAACAGATGGTTGGACAGCATCATGGAGGTGCTGATTAGAACAGGAGAGGAAAAAGTGCTGAAGCAGAAAGAATTGCCCTACATGAAGAGGTGGTGGAATGAAGGGCTGACAAGGATGAGGGCAAGGAAAAGGGCCCTGGGGAGGGAGTCAGGGAGGCTGTCAGCAGAGGTGAATGACTCAGGACAATAAGAGCTTCAGGTGGGCAAGGAATGGCTATAGCCAGGCAATCAGAGAAGCAAAGCAGAAGCACTGGGAGGAGTGGCTAGAACAGGTAGAGCTTTGTCACAATGGCACTGATGGATGAGGGAAAGGCAAGGATCTCAATGTTGGCAGACATCGCAAGGGGGCAGAGGAGGGAGGTGGAGGAGAATGGAGAGAAAGCAAGGTTTTAAAAACTGTGTCCAGAGAATATAACATTCACGCGGAAAACTAGCATGCGGGAACTCCGGCGGCGAATGTAGAGTAGTGTTTACTCGACATGAACGCTCCTAACAATATCAAAAACGTTGGGTGATGCAGGTGAGGAGGGCGGAACCCAAAGTCATACATTGCCAGTGCCCATTACAATTGGTTACGTCAAGTCAGTTGTAGTGCCGAATAACTACCCCTGCGATTTCCTCCTCTTCTACTCCCTTATCCTTTCCCTCCTTTAAGGAAGTCTGTCCGTAGGAAGAGATCCTAGCCTTCCTGTATACTCCGGCTGTTGGAGCAAGCTCATCGTCCATCCTCCGGGTGATTCCAACACGTTGAAGAACAGGGCTCCGCACCAGAGGAAGAAGCTTCACATCATCGTCAAACAACGAGAAATAGAAAACGCCTAGGCGAGTAAGGTTTCGTTGATCTGGGGGTGGTTGGTGTACACGATGTATTGTGGCCTTGTAGAAACCGCCCGATAGAAACTCGAGACTGTCTCCTGCATTGACGACCTAGATTTTGTCAGCGAGATCCTTGCCAGCGACGATGAATTATCATGTTCGTTGTACCAAAGCGTTATCAATATGTTTGACCCATTTCCACTCCCCGTCCGTAGTGCGGATTTGTAATGCCGAAACTGGCTGACTCCATAGAAGAGTCAAAGCTCCACTATCTACGATTGACGATTTGAGCAGTGGTACATGAGAATGTGAGAATGACACGATTGTGTTGCTACCTGTGTGACCCTTCAACCAGACATTTTTCGTCTTCTCTTCGTCTTCAGATGATCGCGGGTAACTTGCATCATTGGGGTCGGATTGTTTTCAAAGTGACTATCGAAATGTATCTACTTACTATTTCATGAATCGGACTGACAAGACGTTTAGTAAGAATAGACGAAGTTGATAAGGTGAGAGACCATACAATATGTTTCTGACAATGGAGACGCCAGAGTGCTTTTCTCCACGAAAGTCTCTTCAGGAAGTTCGAGACCAAGAGCAAGCAACCTGGAGCATTTTCTCAGTGAAATCGTCACATAATCAATATTCTGTACCTAAAAAGTGGAAGAAGGATATTGAAATAGTTATGTCGCACAAAACCGTCGATCTCCGGCAAGAACGGCCGCAAAGCTTCTGGATGTTCTTTCAAAGTGACGTCGGTATGGACTATGGAAGAGGATTTTTAACATATTCGAAGCTTCTGTTAACAAGCGGCACCTACAGTTGTAGTGCTCGATCTGATCACGAACACCGGCATCGATGTGCTAGTGGGTTACTCAATAACTTGAGCATGCGTCCAAATCCTGAGTAGGAGACATACCCAGAATTGACGTGGCTTGTATCCTTGGTAACTCCCGGCCTCCTGTATTTTGGCGACATATTTCTGTTTTTCCTCCTCGCTGACGGTAAAAGGGAGTTCAGCAATATCAAACATCCGTCGGGTCTTCACAATAGGAATCATTAGGTCTTAGTAAAATCAACCAGAGTAAAAAGACCTGTTCTTGACTGTATCCATGATTGATGACGTAGAAGAAACCGGTGGTATTCATCGCATTGCATACATCCCTGACGAGCTCAGCCTTTCCTTCGGGTGTGCCAAATTTGGCAAGATCGATGATAGCTAGGTCTGCGAAGTCCACTGAGATCTCTTATCAGCTACAAATCAAGTGAATCGAATTAAATGACTCTCGCAATTTGCCTTTGTTGGAGGGGGAGGAATGTGGCGAGGAGTTTCCAGAAGAGCTGTACCTGGCATGGTGTATGAACAGGTAGGAGGTCCAATCCAAATGACGGGAAGGCTTAACGACGGATTGGTGATGAATAGGTCCTTTTATGATGTTCTACATACCTCAGGAGACAAATCAGATGACTGCGCTAAAAAAGCGTTTGAGCCGGGTGAACTTTCCCAAAGGTTCAATGATCCCCACGGGGTCAATCGTTCTCAAGGCTTAACCTTTCCGGGGTTCCGCATGAGAGCCGCGTTGGCTTTCCTTGAGCCACTACTGCTGTAACTGAATTGTGACTAAGTTCTGACTTGTCAAGGCGATGACTTACCTTGAGAAAAATCATAAAGAACAGATGCAGCACCATGAGAATGTTCAATTGAACAGATGGCCCGAAGTTCTATCAGTGAGAAGGAGGTTCAGCTAAACTAATACATTCTATTCAGAGAAGCTCTGCTAGAGGTATTTTGGCTTATAACTTGGGAGAAAGAAGCAAATACGATGATTCGGTTTTTGCCCTCCTTCCAATAGGTATGGTCCATGCACGACACGTGTCGTAAAATGATCTAAAGTTATGATTCGGATTAGATAAGATGCGGTCAGTGCCCACTGGATTATTTAAGTACAGTCTTCGACTCAAATACTTTATTCTGACGCAATTGTGGACATTTGGATTAAGCTTGAGCTTGACATAATTTTTGTTGCACGTCGCGATTGGTCTCGCGATCAGCGTTCAGCCCCCCATTGTGCAGTAGTTCTCTGTCGACTGATGGCGATCTTCCCAATTGTATATTTATCCTTCTCCCCTCACCCGTGCCTTCCTTTCGTGCCCTCTCTTAGCCACTTTGTGACGTACTTTCACCCCACTTCCCCAGGTTCAGATGATTCTATGTTACTTTCTGGCATCCTGCATTATACTTCCCCTCGCTTCTTGTTTGCCCTCCTCCTTCGTAATCCCTGCTTCAACCCCTAGAGTAGTTGTAGTTTTATCTATACCTTGATCCTAACTCTCCACCAGAGGCTGGCAGGGTAATATATCACCCACCTGTCATCACAAGCAAGCATGATATATTGATGCTTGTACTTACAAGACCATCCCCATATATGAAAGTCTGGTAATGTCACATGATGTCAACAGCACCAAATGTTGAACCAGAGAAAAAGAAGTCAATGAGAGAGAATTGAATCAACCACCTTCTGAATGACAGGCACAATTCCAAAAAAGACACAGTAGAACCATTGAACTAACAGGTCCAATGATCAAGTTTAACACATTAGGCCTATGTACCCATGACACCTGCCTGTTGAGTACATGGTTAGCCTGGTTGAGTTGAGTTAGAGTTCTGGTTAGGTAGTTAAAGGTTTGGTTAGGTTCTGTTAGGGTTCTGTTAAGGTTTTGTTAACATACTAGGGTGGCAAGGATATTTTGAAAGGGAGCAAGGCTCCCCTTATTACAATAGATTTATATTGTAATCAAGGTTCAATGGTCAAGTGGTTATTCTTCTACCCATGGTTGTTTTTGGTATTGTGGTCACAGGTTCAATTCTTCCAATTGGCAAACTATTTGGCCAAAAATTGCTAGGCACATGGTACTTGTCATTACAAGCTGTAATATATTAAGCTTGGCTTGTAGTTACATTGTTGTAATGTATGATTGTACCACCTGAACTCTCAAGGCTTAGGTGTCCAAATCTTGTATTTTTTTTTTGTTTTTTCATTTTTGCTTGTCTCAGCAGCTGAAGGAGTCAAAAAGCAACAAGGTAAGTATTTACACAACATCAGACCTTTGAACCCTCCATCCTGGTTCTGCCATTTTTGTCTTCACAGAAGACAATTTGAGTGGGGACTAGTATGCTAGGTATCAGTATCTGTAAGGGGATAACCCCTTTGGGTAACTCCAGTTGGACCAGACAGGTGTTCAGTATTGTCCATCTGGATAGATGGAAAACAATGATCTCACATTAGGACACACCTGTCCCAGAGACTCCAACCCTTGATCTTCTGATGCTACATGTGACTTGAATTTGGTATGATAGTTGGATGCTGGGATGAACCAAGCCATGAGACATGCCACATAGGGCTTGAAGTGTTCAGGTGTTGTTATGTTCACATGACTGTAGTGGTGTTGGGATAAGAGTTGGACTGGACAGGTGTTCAACCCTGTCATGCATCTGGATAGATGGAAAACAATGATCTCACATTAGGATGCATCTGTCCCAGAGAGACTCAAACTCTCGATCTTCTGATGTGACATGCAACTTGAATTTGGTATAATAGTTGGATGCTGTAACCAACTAAGCCATGGGACATGCTAAGTGAGGGTTGAAGTGTTCTGGGGATGTTTTGTACAGGAGTTGTTTTGTTTGCAAGACCTTGGTTGTATTGGCATAACAGTCAGATGTACAGGTGTTCAACCCTGTCATGCATCTGGATAGATAGAAAACAGTATGATGATCTCATAGTAGGATGCATCTGTCCCAGAGAGAGTCAAACTTTTGATCTTCCAATGTCAATTTCAAGCTTAGTTTCAGACAGAGCATAACAGTTAGATGCTGTGACCAACTAAGTCATAGGACATCTTGAAGTGATCCAGGGATTGATTTGTTGTGTTTGCATGAGCATAGTGGGAGTGGGATAAGAGTTGGATGCACAGGTTTTCAAGACCCTATCATTCATCTTGATAAATGGAAAACAATAATCTCACATTAGGTTGCATCTGTCCCAGAGAGACTCAAACTCTTGATTCTCCAATGTTACATGCAACTTGAATTTGGCATAACAGTTGGAAGCCATAACCAACTAAGCCATGGGACATATATACAAGCCTTAAAGTGTTCAAGGATTGTTTTGTTCACATTGGAGTATCCATTGTTCAGAGGAGGTCCACAATTTACTTGTGACAACTGCCACTATTGGACACTCAAAGTCTAATGTAACTGGTGGGAGCAAGCATAACAGTTGGATGCTATGACCAACTAAGCCATGGGGTCATGGATATCTTTTAATGTACATACATGAGAAGGGTATATATAGCAGTCAGATGGTATGATCAACTAAGGCTATGGGACACATGAAGATTACAAAAAAGAAATTTTTGAAGAAAAAGGGTCTACACCTAATTTCCCCACTGCCCCCAAGAGACTTTAACTCTTGATCTTCTGATGTCAATTTCAAGACTACTTTGAATGAAATACAGCATAACAGTTGGACACTGTGACCAACTAATCTATGGGACACTGACACTAAGGGTGTGGGTCTTTGTGGTGTTCATGACCTATCATCTGAGGCTTGGTGTAAATGTCGTTAAGTAACCACAAGCAGAAATCTGTCTGTAAGTAATGTGATTAAGAGTCAGAAGTTTGTGTATAAGAAAATCAGATGGAGGCTTTGTCTATTTGACTGTAATTTATGAGAAGGAGAATGAGTTTGACTATAGGAGATAACTGCCAAAAAGTGGAAAGTGTTGAGGATCATGACAACAGGGAGTGATGGGGGGAAAAGAGAAGTTTGGTTGTAAATGAGCTGCAATTAATTGGCAGATGAAATTGGGTGCAACAAGGTCAAGGTTGAATAACTCAGTGTCAAGGCATGGGGCTCTTGCAGATGTAGTGCTGGAACACCTTTGACAACCATCAGCCTTCAGCTTGGACAAGATGAGGTGATATTCTCAATTCATCAAGAAGGTAGCTCTTCCTGCAATAGATTGAGGAAAGAATTGTTGCAATTGAGAGATAATGAATGATCGGGTCAGCTGAGATCCATCCTTCTCAAGCCACTATTCTCTTTTGAGGGGAAATAAGCTTGATCTGCTATGCAGATATCTTGTGAAATGAGAGTAATGGTCAGTAGCATAATCACTCTTCTGAATATAAATTTGATTACCTTCAAGAAGGCATCAGATTTATGGTGAGGCAACTGAAACTCATAGAATGAGTTGTGGACCTGAATCAACACTATCAGAACTGTTTTTTGCTCATCCCCCAAGCACTGTTGTTTGGCTGAACCATTTCACCCAAATGCAGGAGGCCATGGAAACCAGTAAGGAGCATGGGAAGAAATGAGATGTCATCATAATCAGTAAAATCTTTGAAGAACTCTACCACTTGGAGAAGATGTTTGTGGGAGAGAGGCAACTTCCACTTCTTATATGGGTTATGCAGTTTCATACAGGCAAAGGTGTTTTTGACTAAGTGTTAGGTTCAGCTAACCCAGGGTGTAAAGATGACCTCTGGAGGCTGTGGTTTGATCACACAACTGGCAGAGGGAGATCCAAAGTCTATTCAGCATTGTACAGTGGCTACAGACATAACTACTCACCTGGCAGAGGGAGATCCAAAGAGAACAAATCTGAGGAACTCCCTAGGCCAGGTGTGATGCTTCAGAGGCATCAGAAGTGTGAGAAACAACTGTACAGTATGACAGAAAAGAAAAGACAAGTGATGTGTCAGCAATTGGTCTCAATTGGCTAGGATAAGAATATGTTTGGCTCTCCTAACAACTGTATTCCTATCTGATTGCTTGTCTTAGGCTGCTAACTTGCAGAGATATAGCTCTTCTGAGAGATGCATGCCAGTAGAGACAATTACACCACCTCTCCAAATTCCTTGCCCATATTCTTCCTCCAATTAACAAATACCTCATCTATGCATTTCAATTCCTCAATCATCACACCTACACCTATTTCAAGGGTCAATCTGCAGTCATTGCCACTTTGATCCTCATCATTAACTCACCAGCCACCTATGTCCCAATCCACCTCTGTTTTCTTTATGCATGGGCATTCATATGCCTGACCCTAGTGCTAGTACTAGCCAACCCTCATACTATCAAAGCCCTTGTCCAAGCACTCACCATGCAGATGATTATCTTTGGTCTCCCAATCCTTCAGGCCATGCTGCTGGCCAAACTACACTGAGAAACATTGCAGACTCTATCAGTCATCTCTCTTTCATTATTGTCAGGTTCCACTGACCTTGGGGGCTCAGCTGCACTGGGCAAGTCCTTACTAGGTGGGCGTGATCCCCTTGCACTGGTAACGGAACACTTGAAAACGTTCCGGGCACTGATGGTTTGTGCAGATAGTTGGTGGGATGTGATCCGGACCAATCTGGGGAGGTCCAGAGAAGTTGGAGTGCAGGGAAATGAGACAGTCTTGGCGGGGTTCAGGCAGAAGACCATATGGGAGATTCGCGGAAGCAAAGGAGTAGGCGGCTGTGTGATCAATGGGAGTGGAGCCGGGGTTTGATGGGAGATCATTTGGAGTTGATGGAGTCTGGGACCAAGCAAAGAGCGAGGTTCGGACCTGGTGAAGGAGTGTCAGGGTTTGTGATCATAACCGCGGAGTTTGTGAGGTCGTTAAGGTTGATGAAGACTTGGGCACAATGGCCGGACAGAGTCACCAAGACAGCGTCAGACAAAATAGAATGGAGTCGATATGGAACAAGAGTAGATTCAAGTGGAGATACAAAACGATAACGAGAACAATAACGAAATGGAGACGAGACAAGACCAGGAGACTGAGATAAGACCAGGAGACTGAGATAAGACCGGGAGACTGAGAGTAAGGAGAACGAGACACGAAACACGAAACACAAAACATGAGAAGGAAACAATCAGACCATAGGTAACGTTAAGCAATATCAAGACTAGAGTATGAAGAGCTACTCGACAGCTTATATACTGACTACCAGAGAACTTCAGGGTACATTGGCTGCGGCGGCGGGGCTTGGCGGAGCTTGACGGAGTGGGCGGGTGTTGGTTGCAATCGAGGATCAGGCCACGCTGATATGTTGATGGGATCATTGGGGAATGTGGGTCGCCCCAAGGTTGTTGTGATACTCCGGAATAGGTCAGAGGAACCAGGGTGTTGAGTTGATGATGGGTGGCAAAGATCGGAAATAGTGGGGGTGGTTCTCAGGGTTCGGGAGATCCAGGGTAAGTGTCAGTGGCTGTGGGGAAGGCACCGAAGTTGGTCAGGGGGCCGTCGGAGTTAGCCGGGGAGGTGTCGGAGTTAGCCAAAATAGGCGCGGGGCATGGGCGGAAGTTTGGCAGAGTGTCGGGGGTTTTTTGGGGGTTCGGGGGGTTGATGGACGATGTGCAGGGGTTCAGGGGACAGGTCGTGACAATTATGAGCAACCTTTCCACCCTTGCTGGCTCTTTTAACTCACTATGCACAGAGTTGGCTGAGACATGCAACACCTTTTTAAGCATGAATCACCTGACACATTGACAACACCAATTCCACATTGTCAATTCCAGCAATAAAACAAGGAGTCACATTAGACCTTTTTAGAAGCATAGATTGTGACTAGAGAACAGCTTTCAAATGTGTTCAAATATAGCAACTTAGCATTTTTTCATCATTTGTACACATAGCATTGCAAGCACAATCTATAAATGAAGTGGACTTGTAACTCATAACCTCCCTCAGTCAAACCCAATGTCCCACTCTCCCTCAAGAAAATAGAAGCACAATTTGGCGGTGTGTTTCTTAGTGTTTTACATGCAGACCACATGGACCTGTCTGGTACTATCTCAGTTCTGTAGGAGTAATACTCCTTGTGGTGGTGGTGCAGGTGAAGGAGGACAACAGTAGTCAGTAGTGATCTGAGGCAGTAGCATACTCTACATATCTCAGCAGAAGTCAACAGTAATAGACACCCCAAGTCCACAAACTTGATGTTCATGGGTTCAGGTAATGGCATAACATGCCACACTAAGAGACCTCTACAGATCAAACAACATTATAGAGGGTTTCATATATGTTGTGCTGCATTGTGTATTAATCAAGGGTAGGTTAATAATGTAGGGGCCACAGTTCATAAGATTGTGGTAGTGGGCCTGTGGAGAGGGCAGAACAGAGCTGACAACTGTCAAAAACAAACAGAACATTAGTGAACATAATATCATACATTGCCACTCATGTATCCTGTGACTCCACAGTTCAGGTCTCCTGATGGCCTTCAATGCAACTCAGAAGTCCCTCAAGTTCCTCCTGCATGCAGTCATCCTATCCTAATAGTATGGAGAGTGAGCTACAGGTGGCAATAATAATAGCCTGTACATGCATTAGTGAAGAGTGAGGGCACAGAAATGAATGGATCACTGACTGTGATTTCCATCCAGCCACTTTCTTGCTAAGTGTCTTAAAGATTGCAGTGTTTTTGTTTTCAGAAGATGGCAATCAAACTCAGTTCTCTATCATCAAGTATCCTGTGGATGATGATGGTGTCAACAATGCTGGGGCAGTGAGATCAAAAGTCCATATGACATGGCCTGCACTCTTAAAGCAATACAGGAGTTCTGTGAAAATGAGTGCATCCATGGTAAACACCAACATGACAAGAAACAAAATTAGTGCACTTGTTGTGCTCAGCAAGTAGAGGGGTTCCCTTGCCAACTGCATTGAGCCTTCCTGCATGGTGGGCACACCACATCACCATGGGAGGCTTTGGCCTTAAATGCAAGGGGAAAACATGGAAATACAGAGTGCATTGGAGAGATAATGAAGCAAAACAAAATTGCTTCAATAAACAATTCAAATTGTGTCTATTGACATGGCAACAAGATCTTCAACATGGTTGGGCTGGTTCTTTTGCATTTCAAAAGTCTCATTCTATGTTCTACAACTTTCAAACAATTGGAGTAGACACACTTTGGCCCATGGACATATTTGAATAGCAGCTGGTAAGTTGGTCTTTCTTCCTTACTTATTTCTTGAATCAGTAAGATACTAGTAATTGCTCTCATCAGTAAGCAGCAGCCCTATCAAAGGATTTCTAGACAGCACAAACATTGAAGGGTTTTCTGTTATG